TGGCCACTTCAGCACCCCCCCCCCCCCCCCCCCATTATTGGCTCCTCTCCTTTTGATCATGGATAATTTTTTTTAGGGGGGGGCCTTAAATATGGCCGCAGGGGGTAAAAACACAGGCATAGGGGTTTTGTTTGCCTGTGGTCTACAGTAGGACAGCTACAGGCAATGAGACAAGATGAAAGCTTTGTTTCCTACAACCTGCCTGAGACAAAATTCTCATTTTACCTCTAATGGCCCTAAGTAGGATCTACTGACAGCACTGCTTCAAGTGAACTGATTAGGAAAATAACAGTCCTTCACAGAAAAAGGCTTGCCTCTATTTTGTATGTGTAACTGGCACATTCAAAAAGAAACAAAACACACCAGAAAAAAAGAAAAGATTCAGAAACATTTGCCAATTGAAACATCTGATCGTCCTCATAGGAATCAGTGAAGTAAAGTTGGTTCCTTCCTTGGTTATATATTTTGGCATGTGAGAGCTGCTGAGATTTTTCATAGGCACTCACGGTACACGATGTAGAGTGATACAGACATGAGCACTGAACTGAAAACATAAAGAATTCCTTCTACATAAATATATTTTCCTTGCTGAGAAACTCAAAAATTGAACCAATGACATGTTCTTTCCTTTAACATAGCAGATTTTTCTTGGAATATTTGGGTCAGCAAGGAGATCATTTTAAAGTCAAAATTGACTTTTGAAATAACCGCTCTTGTGCCTCAACATTATGAGAAAAGAACAGGAATGGTGCATAATGCTGGTAAAATAGATCAGTGTGACCAGGTGTCCATCAGACATTAATGTTATCCATCAATTAGTATAATGTAAGTTATGAATTTCCTAACAACTGGTATTTTCAAAGCTATCTCTTTTCATAAAATCAATCTGACTTTCAGAATGAGCTCTTTTACAGAACTCTGTTCTACATTTGTCATTTTTAAAATTCCCTTTTCCTTTCTATTAAAGTGCATCTAAATCCCAAACCAAAAATGTCATATATTGATAGGTTCTTAGATATGATGGCTTCATTAGTTTCCTTTTTTCAGGCTATTTTTTCTTTATTTCTACCCAATAATAACACACTTCCTGTCTTTGGGTGGCTATTCCCACTCTATTTTTTATGAAAGACATGGCTGTCACCTTAGGACATGACTACAAACACGTATTCCTTTCATCATCTCCATTACATGGGGGGCTAGTAGTTACAGAAGATTGCTTGCATGGAAGATGACATTGTTTGTGCTTTTAGTTCAGCTCAAAGGAAGTGACAAGGACATGACTTTTCTGGCAAGATCAATAAATATTTTTCAGTACTTGCTGAAAATGTTCTTAGTCTGAAAAAAGAAAACCAAACAACCACCACACCTAAGTAAGCTGCAAAATTTAGCATTTTACTTGGGTTTAAATATCCTTCAAAGTGATTTTAAGCTAGTTTTTTATTCTTTTTATTTTTTTCTATTTAGAATGTTTTCATGCAATGTCCAAATTTCATAAAAATAGATGGTTACCTTATTACCTGTCAAAGGATGAATCCTGGTAACCACGTTGATCGGGTTTTGCAATTTACACACCACTATCACACTGTAGAGGTAGAAAGATCAGTCTGCTACTTCCTGGTTTGGCTTTTCTGTTTCCTGGATCAGCTTCCTGCTGATTGGTTGGTGGAAGGCATGATACAGGAAGATGTGATACAGAAATTGCTGAACCAAGTGTGTTACCTGCCTGGCTCTGTGATGAAGCAGATATAAAAACAAATGCTTTGGCAAGTAATATAGTTATTTCATCTGTTTGTTAAGCCATTTACCTGGAGTTCAGCTTTCATTTTTTCAATGCACCGACTTAGAGCACTGTTAAGTATAATGGACATAGCAGGAGTGATTCTGAACCCAGGACCAAGTTAAGTGTTTTTGAGTAGAAAGATAGCTTAGAAACATATTGAGAAATTATACTAGTCATTTTCATAACCTGCATCACTGTACTCGAAGGGCCACTAAACCTAAAACACAAACTGACTTGCATAAAAAGCCATTACTCAACATACATAGCAAAACATGATTCACCTTAAATTTGAAAGGATTTTAGCCCATTACAAGTTGGTCTGAATACAGCCTATTACAGGCTGAAGAGACTTGAACGTCAGTGTTTGTAAATGGAACTACAATAATAAAAAATTTTTTTTTACTGGCTACTAATTTTATATAAGTATCCGCAAATGTTTTTCATACGTCATTAAAAAAAAAAAGCTTTGAATTTTAGGTTTAGTGTTCCTTTAAAGTGGGCCATTACCCCCAAACCCAAAAACACATGTGAATGCAGCTCTGCAAGCTGAATTGAAGAAACATTTCAGTGATATGTTTAATGAAAGTTATTTTGCTTAAAAATAAACATGCCTTCTACTTTCTTCTTTTCTGATGTATTGGTAATGTAGAATGGGACATCTGCCCTCTGGGGAGGCTACATCACCAGTGCCTTTCAGTGAGTTCTTGTGGTCAATCTATGAGATCACGTGAGATTTCACAATATATTGTGAGATCTAGGGCAAAAGGCCTTTTTTATTGTGTATACATTGCCATGGCATCATTAGTGTGAGTTTTGGCTGGGGTAATGATGCTCACTTTGCTAACACCATGGGGTCGATTTATAAACAATTTGCAGGACCCTTCGCCTTGCCAATATCCGTTAACATTCATTTTGAGGAAATAATTCCCCAAAAAAATGTATTACATTCTAAAAACAAATATTACATTATGGTCACTGGACAGAGCTGAGGAGCATAGGAAATCAGAATTTATTTGCCATGATTCTCAGCTTTATCTAGTGGCCATAATGTAATATTGCAACACTACATTCTACCAGGGAAAAGCTTAATTAAAGAAGAACTATGAGGTGAGCGATTTACACTCATCCTCATAGTTAGAGCCGACGTGTGACATTGAAATGGTGGAGCAAGATTCAGAGCAAGTGATGAAAGGACCATTGGGATTGTGGAAACCAAATACAAAAGAAGTGTGTAACTAGAAGATTACTTATTTCCCTACAGAAAAAGTACTCTTTTTTCTGGCCTGCTGAGTATCTCATCTCAATGGCATAGATCATTCAAAAAACAAAATAAACAAACAGAAGAACAAGAGAACAAAGTAGTCTAAATTGCTCACAGCAAATAAATAACAAAAGGCCATGAACTACTTCAGTGCTGGAAGGGTCCAAAGAAAAAGTCAGACACCAAACGTGTTTCAGAGAAAAACTTTTTTTTGAACAAGTGTATCCCCACTCCCCTCAATCCATCGGCACATGAGAACATTTCCACATGTATATCCAAGGCAGAAAGCAATGCTTTGGTGTCCAAAGTTTACTATGTTTGTGCTTTCCATGGAGGATGATTACTTTATAAAATCCACTCTCAAAGGAAAAAGCGGGCCATCAATGATGGTTTGAAGTCGCTGAGAAGACGGTCTCACTGGGATTTTTCTCCTCACTGTTGGAGGAAGTGGTGACAAGTGGCATAGGAGAAGACAACTGCCCCTTCATGAGCAGCAGAGCATTCTGGGAGCCTTGACAGAAACCAGTTAAGTGCTTCCGTTGCACTTTGGATAATGTGGATAATGCTTCTGTTCAATACTGACCTTGTGTGGTTCTCTCGTGATAGCAGAACTATGGGAGAGAAACAAGAGCAGAGCAGCACGTGACAGCTTGGTCCATAAAAGATCAGTCTGCTTTTTTAATAAATATCTGTTTGTGGGAAGGAAAAACAATAGGAAAAACAAAAATAAATAGATTACTAATAAATATCAAATTAACACAATATTAAAGCTTATGAAAGTCACACTGCGATATTTTGCAAACATTGCGTCACAGAGAGTTCCATTTCTAAAAATAATGCTAGTCTTTCCAGTAAAGAGTACCTTTCTACGTGGGGGGGGGTGCAGTGGGGGACGAGCTAGCATTCACTTAAGATGGGCAGACATTGTGTTCCACAGTACCTACCATCCTTGCCTTGTTGTCTCATTGCTCTGTTGCTCAAAAGCAATGTATAGCTAAGGTTCTGAGAGCGAAGCTCCTGCAAAGAGCTGATATCAATCAAAACAAGCAGGGCTGCCCAAGGCGGCTGGACACATCAGCGTGTGTTTTGGCACAGCGTCCTGAAGCTTCAATTAGGAGCTAAGAGGCAGAAACTGACCAAGTCGGCATGAATCTGCTTCACAATGTGGAAGGAAGGCAAGGGGACAGATCGGATAACCAGGAATGTGCTAATGATCAGCAAATGTAGTAAAAAAAAAAAAAAAAAAGACATTTACTATGAGTTAAGAGTTAATATGGGCAGAGGAATACATTTATAGAATTTCATTACTAAGGCTAACAAACACTTTTAAGTATACCAAGATACTGTACTCTTTGCTTAAAGGGAATTTTACACTAATCTTTTTATCTGTACTTTCATGTATCTGATTTAAATTTTGTAGGGAGTGATCTGAAAGGAGGGGGTTGAGTCACCATGTTAACCAATATACTTGTATGTAAACACTTTAGCTTGATTTTTTTGAATGGGTGCAAATTTCAGCTAAGTGACATTTTCATCTATTAATATCTGTAACCAATTGACATTGTTCAACATAGCAGCTAATACAATCCTGAAAAACATATGAAAAGGAGCATAGAGGTCTTTCTGAAAACAAAAATGCAATACAATACAATTGTTTATATTCACCTCAACAACAAAAAAGAGAATATATGATAAACTATATTATATTTTATTTAATCCTGACAATAATAAAGAAAAAATATATAAAACATCTAAGCACTTTCTTTAAATGTGACTAATTACTAATCAGTATGGATGTCACCAATAAAACAGTCAATTCTTATATTTTCTATCATTCAAAATGATTTTCTTATTGGAAAGCTGTAACACAGGGAAAAAAAGATGACATGATAAAAATTGATAATGTAAAATAACTAAGAAAAAAACAAAAATAAATAAAGCAGTGTGCAAATTGACAACATATAAGCATACCATGTATGCTATACAAAGCCTCTTACTTCCTACTGATTACTGAATATATATAGATAGATATATATATATATATATATACACACATACATATATACATACACACGTGTTAATGATGTGTTTTTACCCTATACATATAAGGGTAGCATGTTGGAGATAGATTGAATAATTCTGCATTCATTTAACATATTCTGTATTATGCCTATTGTGATATTATACTCTGAGATATACAGTGGCTTGCAGTAGTATTTACCCCCTCTTGGCATTTTTCCTATTTTGTTGCATTACCACCTGGAATTAAAATGGATTTTTATTTGGATTACATGTAATGCACATTCACAAAATAGTCCAAAATGGTGGAATGAAATCATAAAATTAACTTGTTTTAAAAACTTATAAAAAAACGGAAAAGTGGTATGTGCATATGTATTCACCCCCTTTGCTATGAAGCCCTACATAAGATCTGGTGCAACCAATTAGCTTCAGAAGTCACATAATTAGTTAAATAAAGACCACCTGTGTGCGGTCTAAGTGTCACATGATCTCAGTATATATACACCTGTTCTGAAAGGCCTCAGAGTCTGCAACACCACTGAGCAAGGGGCGCTAAAAATGAAGCAGCTTCATGAAGACCAAGGAGCTCTCCAAACAACTTTGTCAGAGACAAAGTTGTGGAGAAGTACAGATCAGAGTTGGGTTATATAAACATATCTGAAACTTTGAGCATCCCACGGAGCACTTTTAAATCCATTATTAAAAAATGGAAATAATGTGGCTGTACAACAACCCTGGCAAGAGATGGCTGCCAACCAAAACTCATGGACCAGGAAAGGAGGGCATTAATCAATTAATAAACAGACCAAAGATAAGCCTGAGGGAGCTGCGAAGCTCCACAGCAGAGATTGGAGTATCTGTTCATAGGACCACTTTAAGCTGAACACTCCACAGAGATGGCCTTCATAGAAGAGTAGCCAGAAAAAACCCATTGCTTACCGAAAAAATAAGCAAACATATTTGCTGTTCACCAAAAGGCATGTAGGAGGCTCCCCAAACATATGGAAGAAGGCACTCTGGTCAGATGCGACTGAAATTGAGCTTTCTGGCCTTCCAGGAAAATGCCATGTCTGGTGCAAACCGAAGACCTCTCATCACCTCCAGAAAACCATCCACAACAACATCCAACCACAGAGAAGCATGGTGGTGGCAGCATCATGCTGTGGGGATGTTTTTCATTGGCAGGGACTGGCAAAATGGTGAGAATTGAAGGAAAGATAAATGGTGCTAAATACAGGGAAATTCTTGAGGACAATGAACTTAAGCATACAGCTAAAGCAATTTGTGGCATGATTTAAAGATTGCTGTACACCAGCGAAACCCATCCAACTTGAAGGAGCTGGAGCAGTTCTGCCTTGAAGAATGGAAGACTTGCAGCTGTAATTGCTGCAAAAGGTGGCTCTACAACAGGGGTCCTCAAACTTTTTAAACGGGGGGCCAGTTCACTGTCCCTCAGACATTGTTGGGGGCCGGATCAGGAAGCCAGGAGGCGGGTCATGACATGCTGCCCAGCTTCCTGATTGGCTAGGCAGCAAGCTTCAGTTGGTAGGCAGCCTGGCTTCCTAACCAATCAGTAAGCTGGGCGGCACGTTCTGACCCACCCCCTGGCTTCCTGATTGGCTAGGAAGCCGGCTTCACTTTTTTCTAGGCAGCCTGGCTTCCTGACCAATCAGGAAGCCAGGTGGTACGTCATGACTTGCATCATGGCTTCCTGATTGGCTGGGAAGCAAGCTTCACTTGTTGGTAGGCAGCCCGGCTTCCTAACCAATCAGGAAGCCGTGACACGAGTCATGACATACTGCCCGACTTCCTGATTAGTCAGGAAGCCAGGCTGAATAGAAAAAATTGCTGCAACAGCGTGTGCTGGTTACTACTTAAACCGGCACGCGCTGTGTGCAGCTTCTGAGAATATACGCTATTAGCGTAGCGGAGAAGCCGGTTGCGCATTTTGCAGAGCTCCTGCTACGCTAATAGCGTATATTCTCAGAAGCTGCACACAGCGC